CCTGCCTCCTGAAGATTGACAGGAAAGGGGCCAGGCGCATCCTCCCCGGGGGAGGTTGTTCCATAATTATGGGGCTGCCACCGAAAAGGCCCTGTGTCGTGTGTCCACCAGACGAGTGTCTTTGTTTGGTGGGACAGTCAGATGGGCCTCTCCCTGCCATTTTTATTCCTGGGATAAGAACATATGGGAGAAGACGGTGCTTCTGATGCCCCAGTCCCAAGCCATGTCGCGGTTTAGATTTCAAGACCAATACCTTAAAATTAGTTTGGGGAGGAGATCAGAAAACAGTGTGATTGCTCCAGTATCAGGGTCACATGTTCCTGGTAGCATTGTAGCTGCATGATGATTTGTGGATCTGATAAATAAGGAATTATACAACAGAAAAAAGAAAACACAAAAGGCTCTACATCTGACAACAGCACTACAGATAAGATTAGAATCCATATGCAAAAGAACCTCCTCAGGAAACAGGAAACCTCCTCAGGAAACAATCCATATGCAAAAGAACCTCCTCAGGAAACAGCCAATCCATATACAAAAGAACCTCCTCAGGAAACAGGAAACCTCCTCAGGAAACAATCCATATGCAAAAGAACCTCCTCAGGAAACAACCAATCCATATACAAAAGAACCTCCTCAGGAAAGCGCCTCTACCAGTGTTCCCTCTAAGCTGAGTTAGTGTGAGCTAGCTCACAGTTTTTTAGCCTCCAGCTCACACATTTTTTGTCCACACTCAGGAAGGATGGCTCCAGAGCACACTAATTTGCGCAGTAGCCAAATCACTTGCTCACGACTTTAATGCCAGCAGCTCACGCAGTAGAATTTTTGCTCACAAGACTCCACAGCTTAGAGGGAGCATTGTCCTCCACTAGCATGTTCACAGCCTGGGGAACTGCTACAAGATAATGACTCAGCCCTACCCCACCTTCCTGAGTAGATATAAATTACCTGCCTACCATTTTTCTTCTCGCCTTGACACAGAGAGTACTCCATCTTTCTCTGTTATACTTCTGAGGATGCCACGGCCACACAACCCGGAAAATCTACAACAGCTAATGAACTCCGGCCGTGAAAGCCTTCGAAAACATATAGAAAAAAGAGAGCTTTTCTTTGTAAACATAGAGTAAGAGAATATTTAGTAATAATACTTATATCTGTCGCAGAGGATATTTTTTTCCTCTTCTTCTTTGTTGTTATTTCTGTTATTTCTTATTCTTTCTTTAGTTTAAAAATAAAAAATTGATTTAAAAGCCCCAGATTTCTAGATGCAGAATTCTGCACTATCTGCAGGTGCCGTACACTCTTCAAGAGAAGCACCAAGTAGAGTGCACTGCAGTAGTCCAGCTTAGATGTAATAAGGCATGGATCACTCTTGCGAGATCTGACTGACTGAGGAACGGACGCAGCTGATGTACCAGCTGAAGCTGGACAAAAGCGCTTCAAAGCACCACAGCCGCTTGGTTTTCTAGCCAAGCAAACCCCCCTCCCCCAAACGGCAAACCCGGCTTTCCAAGGGGACTGATACTGCTGCCAAGTGCTTTCAAAAAGCAGTTCAAACACCGCCATCGAACCCTTTGCTCCTTATCTCCAAAAGGCACCGATAGCATGATTTAATTAAGGTGCAAATGTATTTAAATTTAATCCATCCACTAAATTGGTTGAAGAGCAGATGATTAATCAACTAAAACTTCATTAATTGGTTGACAGCCCCTTTTGCGCACACACACCCCACACACCAAAAAAACCCACCCAATTCTGCACAATCCTTCCCTTCCAGTGCGGGATAACACGATACTTTGCAATTACGATGCAACTGGGGAAAGGTGGTGGGTTTCTTTTACTTCCTCGTTCTTCTAAATACTGCACCTGCTGGCGAACTGGTGCCTTCTCTGGGATCTCAGCGTTCTGACCTCACAAACAAACTGACAGACCAATGGGGCACAAGGGAAATGCAGAGGGAATAGCGGAAAATGTTACGCTAACAGATATTGGGCAAGAGAAAAAAGGAGGGGAGGGGGGATTCGGCAGAATTCGAGCCTTTGTCTGAAAGACGGCCACGATTCCTGTTCCTTCCGACTGCCGACAACCTCCCTGCAGTGCCGACCCGGTAACGCACGGCTGCCTCATCGCTGGGCAAACAGAAGAACAGGAAGCTCGTGTGCCTCTTTCGGTTCACATGCACGTTCCTCAAGCAGCTGGCGTCTGCACAGGGAAAGCTGCCAATGTTCAGGAAGCCGGCTGAGTCCAGAAAATGGGTCAGTGGGTCCCTGCCGGTTGACAGGAGCCCGGGCCGTCCTTGCTGCCTCCTCAATCGACACGGAGGAGTAACAGATCAATTAGGAGGCTACTGGACAGGAAGAACCGGAGGGGGTGTACCCGTGTCTGCAATCTCCTCCTTTAGGGACCAGGGCAGGGGTCATTTCCTGCAGGAGCGCACAGGAGCGGAGCTCCGGCAGTAAAGAGCCCAGGGGGCGGGCACATGCAACAAGCCCCACCCACTGCTCCCAGCAGCCCTCAGTCAGAGCAAGAAGCAGCCAGGTAAGTTGCAGAGCCCCCCCCGGTCCAAAACAGTCCAGTGGCACCTTTAAGACTCAAGTTTTATTCAGGTACAAGCGCTCCCTCCTCTACGAGGACATATCTGCACATTCCCCCAATAACTAGCAATCCAAAACAGTCCAGTGGAGCTTGAGCGGTGGGTGTTGCCTTCTGACACACTTCCACGGATGTCAGGGGTGTGTGGCATATGCAAATCAGTTAGATGCAAATGAGTTACGCTAATGAGCTCCTGCACCTCTGTTTCTACGAAATGACCCCTGGACAAGGGAACGCTTGACTGACCGAGTTTCAAGGTGGGGTAGCTCTTCAGAAACGTAAGGAAGAAGAAAGAGATCTACATGGACTTAGGGGAGGGGCTGTGGCACAATGGGAGAGTACCTGCTTGGCATGCAGAAGGTCCCAGGTTCAATCCCCGGCATCTCCACTTAAAAGGACCAGGCAGGAGGTGATGGGAAAGACCTCCACCCAAGACCCTGGAGAGCAGCTGCCGGTAGACAGCTGCCGGTAGACAATACTGACCTTGATGGACTGAGGGTCTGATTCAGTAGAAGGCAGCTTCATGTGTTCATGTGTTATAGGGAAGGGGCCGTGGCTCAGTGGCAGAGCCTCTGCTTGGCATTCGGAAGGTCCCAGGTTCAGTCCCCAGCATCCCCAGTTAAAAGGACCAGGCAGTGGGTGATGTGAAAGACCTCTGCCTGAGACCCTGGAGAGCTGTCAAGAGGGGCTGTGGCTCAGTGGTAGAGCATCTGCTTGGCATGCAGAAGATCCCAGGTTCAATCCCCGGCATCTCCAGTTGAAAGGACCAGATTGCAAGTGATGTGAAACACCTCCGTGGCTCAGTGGCAGAGTGTCCACTTGTCATAGAAAAGGTCCCACGCTCAGTCCCCGGCACC